TTTAAAATATGAATAACTAAAAACTATGAATCTACAAGATGATTTAAATAGTAATAATATATATATATAAATTAATGAAAACTCAAACGAAATAAATGCGTTTTTAATTGAGTGTCGCTGTTTTTAACATTGTTTGGAAGTGAATTCCACAACTTAGAAGCAGTCACAGCAAATGATTTGTCTCTGCAATGTTTTGTCCTTGACTTTGGGACAGCAAGATTGTTCTGATCCATTGAATCTCTCTTTTAGGGCTGTTTTAAATGTCAATAACATAATTAATGTCCATGCGAAGTTTCAGCACAAAGTTATTGGCAAAACGTTTTTCAAGGGAATTTCAAGTTAACTTCAAACATCAATCATTGCCATTATAGGTGCTATTAGGTGCATCAGGGTCAATACTGATTGATAGCAATATACAGGATGATTCCGTGTTTTGAAAGCCTTTAACAAGTAAATAAAAATGGCGTTTACTATTCTTTGATCTCTTTTCGTTGCCGAGATATTCAATATAGAAATTACAAAATGATGACATCATCACAGAGGCCCAGTAAAAATAACGAATAATAAACGAAAGTACCTGATAAGGGCTTTCAAATAACTTGTGCCCCTCATAGTCAACAACAACAACAAACCAGTGAATTAATATCGTTGTTCATGGATTTCCTTAAATAATGTGGCGACCAATATTCAAAGTTGTTCATAGTTTATTTTCAACTTTTCATTTTTTTATATGGTAATACACTTTATACCACAATGGAATTCAATATACTTCGAATTTAATATTTTCTATTAATGTCTTTTGCAGTCACAATATCATATTAGTACTCTATCAAATCACATTAGTTATTATAAAATTTTCCGGTTCACGTTACAGTGTAGTCTCCTCAGCAGCCGTTCTTAACGCAGGGAAGCGTTTACCGGACCGACACTAAGAACGGCTGCTGAGGAGACTAGTTACAGTGCGGCGACTTAGATAAAACCAAGACCAGCCAGACACATTTTAATACAATTAGCCAATTCTTAGCAATTTATTTACCTTTAAAAGCATATTTTACTTTATACACGTGTGTGTATATGATCAAGAGTCAACAAGAAACAGTTTTAAACTCAAGAATTCGTCACCTCATTATTCAAAATCAAAAACGTGATTTGTGAACTTGATCTTAAATTTGTTTGGGTGGCCTTGGTTACTGATGTCGTCGGACTGTATGAACTGAGATTCAAAAGTATTAATTGTCTCATATCTATAAACGATAAAATTTATGTATAAAATTATGTATAAAATCCAATGCAGTTGAAAAATTATCAAAAACAAGTAATAGCTAATATTCACATAGTCTATGAAGTCTTATAAAATAGATTAGCTTTTTTCGGGTTAGTATCGGAATTTTCCCTCAGATAAAAATATTATCCACCTCTTGGGAGTAGAATTTTCACCTAATATGAATACGGATCATTTAAAGCTTCTTATCAAAAGTAAAATACAATTAATTGATTTGTTTCAATTTGCATTTCCATAATTAAGTATGTCATTAATTTCAGAAAGAGTTGTCACTGAGTTGAATAAGTTTAGCTCTGCCTTGTGAATTGCCCTATTTCACTATGACGTCACATCATCAAAACAATCTATTGTTTAAACGCAAAGGATCATGGTCGTCGTCGGGGGTCAGATCAACGCAAATTCACCGAAAATTGTTCTAAAACCCGTATCAATCCACGAAAAGAAGTAGAATAAACAGCAAACGCTCAGGATATTTTTTAGTACATATTAATACATATTATATCTGAAAACCAGGTCATTTTAGATTAAACTGTTTCGCTAGGAGCAAATTTTGTTGAATTTTCTATTGGATTTGGCGATTCTATCCCCGACATAAACAAGCAGTGACGTCATAGTGAAATAGGGCAATTAAAAAAGTGTTCAGTCATCGTTGAATAACCCTTTTCCTTTTGCACACTGCCAGTATACTAAATTAGACAAGTAGATCGTGTTGCAACAAGTAACGATAGTAAAAGGATTGTCACGAGACAGCTACCACTTTTGTATCACTAGGGACTTCTAAACGTTAAATCAACGGCAAAATTATCTTTATAGACCTTCCAAGATTTGGGCTTATGAGGATTGTCGAGCTCATCTCGGCGAAGGTACAGCCTGTAAAAACATCAAAAAAATCTTTACCTTACACTGAATGGGATGTAACGGCATTACATTCTAATTTGGATACACCAACTTGCAAAACGGTTGTCATAGGGAAATTGAAAAAATAAACTCTTAGTAAATGAGTAAATTTACCGATTAGGAATAAATTATCACTGACTTCAGACTCGGGTGACCTAATCAAATCGGTTTTTCCAGTGTAAAGCTCTCGAAATATTATAATTTTTTAGCATTAACCGAAAATAAATAGGTTTTTATAATAACAATACTAAAAATTTATAATATTTAAAGAGCTTTAAACTGGGAATGATTTAACATATTAAAACCACGCATTCAAGGGCGGATCCAGCCAAAATTTTAGGAGGGGGGGGCTAATTGAGTTTCTTCCGTCAACACAACGGAAAACAATATAAAAAAGCATCGATTTTTTCTGCTGAAGGGGAGGCTTCAGCCCCCTTTTGCCCCCCCCCTGGATCCGCCCTTGGCATTCTAGCGAAGCACCTTGTACTCACCTGTTATTTTCGATAAAACTAGTGTAAAACCAAAAGAAAAAGGCACACTTATCGTAGCCTACAGGAACATTCTAAAAACAGATTCAACGAGAAGTTTAATGGGTTAAGTCAGGGGAATATGAACTACTTCATTTTCTCTTGGTTAAATAGAGATTATCACATGTTACAGCAAAAATCATTGCATCGCGACTCGCCGTTTCAAAACCCTGATTGGATTTTGGTCTTTTTCGAGCAGTCAATCATCTTGGGTTTATGCACGCGATTACTCAGGCTATGTTCACACTATACAGGATAGCAATCGTTTCGGCTCAAGAAGTATACCGGATAGGCCTTCTGTTCACACATGGAGCGCTTGTTTTTGGAGTGATTTTTGTATTGGATAGATGTTGCCCCGCTTCGGTTTCAAAAGTGATACACTTTGTATCGGATAGGTTTTTGTGCCGATTAAAGTGCAGTATGAACAGCACGAAGTAATGTATTTTACTTCGATAACGCGGGGAGTGGTTGCCCAATTCTCCCGAGCCAAGGGCTCATGTTTAATGCGCTCGAAGGTGCGCCCTCTACCCCCTCTTACTATCAGTGCTCCTTCTTACGGGTATTTAAAGCTAATTAAAGCTACACAAAACAGAGAGAAGTCGAAACAGACGTGGAGTTCCATAGGATCGAACTATGGACCTCAAGCTCTGAAGGTCGCGCACTAACCAACTGGGCTACGCCTGCTCCTATGTAGCCGGAAGTTTAAGTGGTTTGAGTAAAGAGAGGGAGTTGGTAACTAGTATTAAAATCCAAAATGCTGGCTCATGGTCGGTTTCACGCCTATCCACATTGGGGCCGGTAATACCATGTGCCGGTTTTAAAAAGCTATCCGGTATAGTGTGAACATAGCCTCAGTTTCTGAAATCAACGCATTCGGCTTTTTTCGAAAATCTAAAATGACTTGGTAATATTCCAAGGAATTGCGTTGTAGGGTTGTTTTTAAGTCTTCTTCCTTTGATTATTCTTATTGCTCATCCTTATCAAACTCAGAATTTTGTGATAAATCTCAGAATTTTGTGATACAATATTTATCATGAGCAAAATGTTTTCTACTGGACGAGGTAAATATTTTGAGTAGTCCCCGGGGGGAGGGGGGGGGGTACTACCACCCCAACTTGGGTAGGGGTGTGCCGCCAGGACCTCAAAACCCTGACCCTATCCCAGACCTAAAAATTTGATTTTACATACCCTACACCAGACTAAAACTAAGAATTGTACACCCTATCCCAGACTAAAAGACGGAAAAGACGGTTTTTCAACAGATTGCAATCAATATTTACTAACATTTTTATTGTTTTTGTGTCGGCAGAAAGCCCAGCCTATACGCCAGACAAAAATGGCCAAATCGTTAACCCTATCCTAGACTAAAATGATACCCTATCCCAGACAAATGTCAAAAAATGATACCCTACCCCAGACCCAAAAGTTGAAAAACCATACCCTATAGGGCGGCACATACCCGTATAGCAAATATAGTGGAGTACCCCTCCCCCCCCCGTGAGTAGTTTTACTTCAAGAGTTTCGACAGTAACCTGTGGTTGTTTTCGTAAATTTTATAGTGATTAAGACAGCAGTTTGCAAATTACTAGTAGAAATGTGTCAATGTTAGTGTTTCATCCGAGTTGTATTAACTTCCGAAGAATTCAGGAACTGAATGTTTAGGCTATGAATTCGGAGGCTTTGGAAACTCACCGCTTAAGGCTTCTCACCTTTACTGGTCTTTGCCTACATTCAGCTGATTGATCAGCCTTCTCTTAACTTTAAAACCGTTCTCCAAAGCAACTTCTTGGAATATTCTTGAGTCAATTAAGATTTTCGCAAAAAGATGAGTCAATGGCTGACGCTGGGCGAGCGTGTTCGTAGACTTCATTTGCATAAACTCAAGATGATTGACGGCTCGGAAAAGACCAAAATTCCAATCTGGGTTTTGAAACAGCGGGTCGCGATGCAACGATTTTCGCTGTAAGAGCTAGATATCATTTTTATTCACGTCTTTCCATATCATATCGCGAATGAACGAGACTGCGAGCGAGTGATATGATATAGAAAACGAGCGAATAAAAAAGATATCAGGCTCTTAACATGAAATAATTTGTTTATTACACATTCAGGGTCGTTAAAGCGACAAAATTTACAGCTTCCAGTTTACCATCAAGTGATATCGTATGACTTCACTTGATATGTTTTTTTATTCACGTCTCTATCACACGGATATCGACCCTAAATGTGTAATAAATCGTAAGTAAAGGCTGACACCGACGACAGTTTACCCTAGCTACCAATATTAGTCATAAACAAGAAATGTCTTATCATCTCACCGGACTAGATGAATAGAATTTTAGTTTGATGTCACCAGTCAAGGTCGGGCAATCCATGTCGCCTAAGGTTATGACAAGCTTGTCCAGGTCTGCAAAATGCTGGATCTACGAACAAAAATAACCAAGTACCCGCTTTAGTAACATTACTAGTTGCCAACGCTGCTAACGCGTCGTCTTTCACAACCCCTTTGTAAAATTAAACAGGTGAGTTGAGCATTGCGTGCATAGAACATCGAATGTAGTGGTAGTGTGGGAGTGAAGTGTCCCCAATTAATGTGAAACGCTCTGGCACCGAAACTAATGGCGGCTGCGAAGGAAACTTACTAGCATGACACTTGAATAAAGGGATTATTTTTACTTATATTCGTTTGCATTCCTTTGTTTTAAAATTGTGCGTACGTGAAATAAGCGGTCTCATTTCAATGAGCGCTCCTAATAGCTACGGAAATCAGGCTATGCAGTGCTATAGAATATTCTTTCTTACCGTTAGAAGCTATTGATTAGCAGTTCATTACCTGACCAGGACGTGCAGGCTCAGCGCACGATAAATGGAACACGACACTCCCATTGATGACTATCTCAAGTTTTAGATCCCTGCCATCTCCATTACCTAAACCTTGGGGAGAAAATGGTAATTTCAAAACGCGATGAATGTACGCGGTAACATAGGGGACCGGCCCAAAGAGGGATCCAGAGCTATCCCAAGTGCCTTTGCGAGCTTATCGTTTTCTTAGGTTAGTGCACGTTTTTCTAATGATACCTCTGCTACTAATAATATTAATACTAAGGTGTTGCTTAAAAATTTGATGAAGACATTTTCGACTAATTTGGCAAATAAAAGTAGTCGGGTGTAGGACTTGTAATGAAGCTGAAAGTAATCTAAGAAATTTGATATCTCATTCGCAATGCATCAAGGGATAAGCCTGGATCCTCCTCTGTGGCCCGGCTCTGTGGCTGGCCGGTTCTGTGGCTGGCCGGTTCCCATTGCCGTCAACACTCACTTACCAGATATGCCATCAATCTTGATGGTTCTTAGTTTTAGTGGTACAGGTGCTGGCATCCTGCGATTCAACTTGGTAAATATCTGCTCTACATAACCCACATATCGACTCTATAAAACATGACAAAATTTGTGAATACCAATGCAGTCATTGTAAATTTGAACGGAATCAGATTCGGAAACCACAAAGAGACGAAGATGCCAGCCAACCAGCAAGGGTAATAAAGTTGCTGACAGACAAGCAGTAAAGTATTTGTTAGTATTCTTGCCTGACTTGGTGTTTGTACTCCTTGGTAGGTTTTGCCAACATTGTAGTCAGTGCGCCGAAAACCAAAGAATCCCAGGCTTTGCTGTGAGATACACAAACGTATTTTATTTCAGTACAGACAATTGTTCCATCATCTTAATGAACCATAAGCGATACACTTACTCTGGCTTCTTCGAACTGGCCGCTTGCTAGTAACCAAGAACATATTGCTGTTCCCGTCCTACCTATAAAACACAAGAAGACTTCCTGAATGTAGTTTTAATGAACGCTATACGTCATTCTATATGTCAGGTATTACCTTTACCGCCTTTACAATGAACAGCAATGACATTTTTGGGATCCTGGTCCATCCACTCTCTCACATTATGACAGAAATACAGCAATTGGCTTAAAAGGTAAAATCATGAAAATGGTCAGAGTTATGACAAAAAAACTGACGGACAGTCAAAACTTGTTAACCGACCTTGATAAGCTTATACCTTAGACGAGGCACATTGTGGTCATCAATAAGAATCCTCTCCACCCTGTTGTGAAACAATGCTGGGTCATAACTCCGTTCACCTAAAAATACAACATATACCAAGCACTCGTTAACACATCGACAAACCCAAAGAAAAACGATCTCAAAACTATGAAACAAACAATAAAACCTGACAACACTCAGTGACAAAAACTTTCGTAAGATAATTTTATAAGGGATCATTCTCCAGTCGGGAATAATGCTACACAAACAATAAAACCTGACTACACTCAGTGACAAAAACTTTGTATGATAGTTTTATAAGGGATCATTCTCCAGCCAGGAATAATGCTACACAAACAATATCTTGTTGCTGTCAAAACTGCCATTTACGTAAAACCACTAATCCACATTAAAAAAACACCCTAAAAATGTGGCCAAAAAAACGTGGACAAGGCGGAAACGTAACGTAACGTAAACCCAAACCAGAGTTAATATTAACTCTGCCCAAATTAAACCCCAAAACAATTAAAGTAATAATAAATTTCGCCCGTGTGACGAATCAAAAATATTAAACAACAAAGCAAAACCAAAGATCGCCTCATGCCACTGGCCTAGAGTGAATAATCTTCGCTTACACCTTCCCTTATATACCCCTACTAATGAGCCTATATTCATGCCCAGATCCTTGAACTGTGTCGGCAGAATATCAATTCCCGACTTACTCGCTCCCGTCGCTATGCCGTCAGAAATTACATAACCTGATAGAGTGGAATACTTACTACACATATTGTAAACCTTATAGTGATCTTGATGCTTTGTATCTAAAAGACGAACTACTTCCTGTAAGACCAAAGATCGGCATTAGACCACTTCAATCAGTTACAGTGTCAAATATTGATATAGAGTATTAAATAAGTGATGTCTTAAATGACGCTCGAGCCTAGTGTTGTCCCATTTCAGACCACGTGTCATTCCCTTAAGAATAATATTCTTTATTTGAGTTGTATCCATATTCATGTGTGTTCTCATGTACAACCGAGCGCAAACCTTAAACAAAGAAATGATACTATAGAGAATGATACGGGGTCTGAAATGAGACACTGAAAATTACGTCAGAGTCGAGGAGGTCTATTGAATCCCGATATTAAGCAAATTGACAATAACTGTTTAAAGCTTCATAACATTTCTGACAAATTTCTCCTTGTCAGATGCCTAAACAACTTCATTCCTCTTGCTGTTGCAATCACAAACAGGTTATCACCACCAATGCTGCACCTTGTATTACTGGTCCTGATGGAACCTTGGTTTTGATTGCACTTTACAAATATGTTAATATAATATTAAATGTTATGACCAATAAATACGAAATGAACTGCATACGTGCTTGAACTTGTGCATAAATTGAATCACCGTAAAAAGCTTTGTGAAACTGACGTTTCGGACATTAGTCCTTCGTCGGAGTAACGGTGGAAAGAAAAGATGAGAAGGGGTGAATAAATACTAAAGTTTTGCGGGAATTATTACCGCCGTGTAATAAACTTAAACCAAAGACAATTATGTTAGATTCTGAGTGATTAGCGGAATAGACCCTTTTCGAGTTCCAAATTACTTACTGATATTGGATTGCGATACAGTTTGTGTTTTCCAGAAGATGGAAAGGACATGGCAATGACTCTTTCTGTTAATATAAACATGCAGTAAAAAAGTTACAAAATAACCAAGCTCAGGGATGGCGGAGCAGCTTTTTGATTGGGGGGGCTCAATAGTGACATTGTATGGTAAGGTGGGGGGGCTGAGTTTAGTGAAAATGTATTAAAATTTCACAAAGCTGCACTGAAGCTACTAAATTAGCTACTAATAGCAGCTCAGTCAGCTCAGTTTTGCTTTAATGATGCTCAGGTAGACAGACAGAAAGACTCAGATTTAACACAGTATCAATCTTAAAAAGCATCATGGGGATTAAGTTTTGTGGGCCCCCCCCCCCCCCCCCAATTTTTTTACGATAGTTTAAGATTGATATCTACCTTAGGAAAAGAATTAAATCATACAGACCTGTAACATACGTTAGATCTAGATCAAATCCATCAGTCTGATATCTCCTCTTATTCTGTGAAATCTAAAACAAATAACATTATTGCATTAAAACAAGGTATATTGCAGTAATAATGCACACTGTTTATAAAAGCAAGGCTGAATAATCAACAGAAAGTTCAGAATAACACTAGTGTCGTAAAGTAAGCTATTGTCATTACTATGCAAACCAGAGTTCATTTTGCTGACGGAACAAAGTAACTTGACAAGAACCACATGTATTACGATAATGGTTGGCAAATATACATTGAAATGCTAATGTTTGTAAACACCAACTAGCTCGCTATAAGAATGTTGACTCAACATCAATGAGAGTTAATACCATGCGTCTTGTTGCTCTTTCTAACTGGTCTTTTCCAGTAACAATTCTAATAAAGAAGAGGATTCTGATGAACCTTGCAGCAACAACAAGTCTGAAAATAATAATTAAAACCAAACTTAGATTTACTGCTTTTTCAACAGTTCTAAGACCACAGCCATTATAAATTAAAGTATTCATAACTCATTCTTTTATTCCTTACATTACATTTTAATCTATGGATCTGTCAGTCCATTTTACATATGGACCTCTCTGAAAATCACTGCTGTGAGAGAGAGTTCCAGTGGAGCATATTTGGTATTTTTGCTATAAAGATTATTTCCCAGAATGGACATGAATTTGAGTTGACCCACATTCAACCTGGCCACATATATTAAGAACAAGTACATAGTTAGACAAAAGTGTGCCCATTAATCAAATAACAGACTGATTTGTTTAATTCTAATCATTTCCCAAAATAGCATGCTGAAAAGTATTATTTAAAAAAAAAGTTGTATAGAAATTGCTGACAGACAATCAAAGTGTTGCATTTGTCAGGTAGAATTGCTTTGATGTCCCCATTTCAATATCTTAAACCTGCCCATGAATAAGCTAAAAAAGGTTGACTGTTTTCACATTCTTCAAATGGGTTTGACTAGAATGAAATTGGGGTAGGCAATAGTTGGGTGGGCATATCTACCTGCAGCATCAAGAGTAACAACTGAAATCAAAATACAATAATAGAAAGGATGGGTTCTCAATAATGTTAAAAACTTACTTGACAAGGCTATGTTCCCTGAGAGTAATGATGGCAAATATTACAGTCAGAATAAAAGACACAATTACAACAACCATGTCAAGAATTTCAATCCATCTCTTGAAAAAATGTGATCTACAAAGAAAACCAATAACAAAGATTATTTTGGGTTCATCTTTTTTACTTGCTATTTACACATTTTAACTACATTCACTAATCATAAATAGGCACATGGACGTATATATAAGACGTCAAACTTGCTACATGATATTAATCTTGGTTTGACATCTTATATAAGACATCCATGTGCCTACTTAGCAACTTGTACATAAAGCTGAACATTAGCTATATTGTTATAAACCAAAAGCTTCTTACCCAAAGGCAAAGATTCTTAAGCCAAGTTCAAACACAAAAATGGTAGCAATGATGAGGGAAAATATTTCAAGTGGAGCATCTTCCTGTCAAGAGTGAATCGTAAAGAAACAACATTTTAAACAGTCTAAATATTGTTGCATATTCATTATAAACTGACATTAAGCACAATGGTGATACACTTCCTCCCATTTGTCTTGAAAACCCAGAAACCGATCAAACTAAACTTTAAATACTTACAAAGTTTCTGCTATTAGTGCTTGATGTAGCTAGATTGACAATGACAATTATAATGTCTGCTAAAACAAGAAGAAGACTTATGACCCTGAAAAAAGATTATGATAGGCAAGTAAATAGTATGATAGAGTGCAAATAATATACCCGTGAAATGGTTAGAATGAAATAGAGTAACAACTCAATATGAAAATGAATAGATATATGAAAAAGCAAACATGTCAAACTATACAAAGGAAAAGCCTGTACGACAAAGAATTGTTTCAGTTTTTGTAAGTGTGCTTAAAAATATTTTAAAATGAGCGCCCTTGAGTAGCACAAGTGCACTAGCTTGCCCATCACGGCTCGCCTATTTCTTTAACTAATTAGACTTAGGCAACCAAAGGTTAGTAATTAGTTAGCTTATAGCTATCTATTTCATGGGTATATCTGCACTCTAAACATCACATAGAATTGATATGGATTGGATGAATTACAATTAATCTGGGTTTACCTACATATTAGTAGAACATATTGTTTTATTAACCAATTATTTATTGCCATATGATGATGAATTTCATGATAAAGTTTGTCTACATAATGTGTTTTGCTCAAGACTTGCTTTGCTATGCCACAATACGCTTTTACATGCCTTATTTGGCAACACCAGCAAGCATCATATCAAAATGTGTTAATTTTTACCCATTAAATTGTACAAAAGCCTTTGCATAGAAAAATGCAAATACATTAAACATGATCATACTTCTGCACATTGCACTGTAATCACAAACTTTGTGATTATTCTTATTCCCCACTCATGCATATGCTCTCACCTTACAACAAAATGGTCCACAATATGTCCAACTTTAAAACGAACATGTCTGTTAATTACAGAAAAAAAAWAACTTTAGCCATTAGGTTATCTACTTGCATCTTGCACCATGGTCATGTGCGGTGATTAGCTAAAGCTGTGCTCTATCAAATAATAGAGCATCATTATTAAGGGAAAGTAAACTTTTTATTGAAGGGAGAGCTGGAGGATTGCAGTAGACTTGAAGCCCTCCCATCCATTATGACCCTTCTAATGAGAGAACAAGGAAAAGCTTTTGTCAAAAAAAGGTTGAACTCTGCAATTTTTACAGATGATCGTCCCCTCTGAAGCCCAGCCCCCCTCCCCTCCCCCTTCTACCCCCNNCCCCCTCCCCTCCACCCTCCACCCCCCCACAATATAAAAAAAACATACCTTCCCTAATGATAATGTCAACTGCTAGCACAATGCTTTGCAATGGTTTTGCAAAGCATTGTGCTAGCATTCTTTTCATGCTTTTTGGAATGCAGAAAAGCTCTTCTTCTTTCAAGGAATGAAATAGGTTGGTCTATAAGCTGGAACGTGGGACGTTTGTCACGCTGTACTTTGTCAATTGATGACTTTTTAAATTGTGTGACTTATCAAATACTTACTAAATACTAAATGCAATATAGAGCGTTTTCACTCATGTGACCAAGGCAGCCATATTGGTGTACCAAACAACAGAAACTTTCTATACAGTTTTTGCATAAAAATAGAGTTCAAATCCTCGAGGATATAAAATATATTGTTTTGGTACACCAAAATGGAACTGTGACGTCATGTGAAAATGCTCTATGATATTAACCTCCCCACCCCCTAACAGGCCTAACAGTCTATATTTCTGGAAATTGCTTTTCGGTTTGCTTTTTTTAGTGGGAGGAGGTTTTGTGCATCGAGTCATAGAATGTTATTGATATGTTCACGTGCAGTGATACAAAACTAATTTATTCATTCAAATAGCCATAGTTAACTTAATGTAACTAGCAAAGGAAAATGTATGCTAGACCTCAGTAGACAACAGGGGACAAGATAGAGTTCAATAGCAGAAATAGAAAGTAGAAAGTAGGAATATCACATTTCACACATTTGTGCCCAAATATTGTGTAACACTGGAATAATATGTGAATTAAGACACTATCTTTCTATCAAACAATTAAGCAAATCTACTATAACTTAATCTATCAGTACATATCGTATGCCATTATGGCATGGGGTAGTACATACAAAACTTATATTCAAAAAGTTCAGGTTAAGCAGAATCACATCATTAGACTAATATTATTTGCAACACCTTATGGAAAAGAAACRGAAAGCGSTAARCCATTATTGAACCTCCTAAATATTCTATCAGTATATAATATTTATCACTTGCAAGTCTTGAAATTTATGCAACTTGTGGCATCACCAGATGCTGCCTAGTGTGTTTGATTGCATGTTTAAAAATGCCAACAATGTCCATAATTACAATACAAGATATGCATAAGCAACCAAAATCTTTATAAATCAAAAGTGAGAACAAATATAGACAAACAAACAATCTCATTTATAGCAATAGATCTATGGAAAGACCTCCCAGCTTATCTCAAATCTTTAAGTACATTTTCCTTTTCAAAACAAGTGAAAGACTTTCTTCTTTCCAAACAACATCTGAAATTATTGTTCGCCTCTACATCAATTCTAATTATTTAAATAATTTTTTTTTTCAAAAAAGACCTACATCTATTTCCTTTCTATATGCTTATTGGGGTGCAAAAAATTAATCTGTGAAACATTTATTACTAAATAGTACACAATAGTACTAATTAAACAATAGAAAACAATGGAATTTGCATGAAATTGTGCTATTTAGTATTATTAAAGTTTCACGGATTTACTGTGGTCACTCTAATATTTTATAATATATTAATTCTTGTGAATGTATATATGATATTCATTATTTAACTTTTCCTAAATGTTCTATTTTTCTCTCTCTGAAATATATATACGTATATGCATATGCATATATATGTATGTATATGTGTGTAGTTGATCACCAGTAGAACATTAAAATCTGCTGACGAGTGAGTCTGACTCACGAAACAGTTCTGTAGAGAACAGATTATGGTTGTGTGATTTCTACACTTAACGCATATATTTATGTATATATATGTATGTATATGTGTGTGCATGTATATGTATGTGTATATGTATACACTCGATTGAAGAATCGTTGTCGGTTTCAGAAACATAGGACATGAGAGATGAGACCAAAATGGCACATGGGAAATGACATTATTATATTATAACTTATTCATTTGCGCCATCCATGCAGTAGGTTTGGAATGCCAAACACGTATTAAAAACTGTAGATTATTCCCAGCCTTCTCTTACACCCTTCTTCACAAGGGACTTGAACTTCACCTTCTTGAGCCATAGTATACCTCCTATTCTGCAGGATCAATGATGTGGTAATGCTCATTTGTTCTCATCTCCTCTTATAGTGTGAGACGAGTCCACTGGGAATAGTGGATGATGTCACATGTCGCCGGTCACAGCATGCATCTAATTAACACACTTCCCATGTACCATTTCGGTCTCAGCTCCTATGTTCTACATTTCTGAACCCGACAACGATTCTTCAATATTGAGTGTATATATCTATAACTAGTAAGTGTAAAGTTAGATGTCATATTCATACATTCTTTCCTTTATTTATTATTCCTTCCTTATACCTGTTTTTAAATAATAACATAAAATGGCTGAGGGTAAACTAGAAAACTTATGGTTAATTTAGAGCGTAAACAATATAACCGTGAAACTTTAGTAAAAATAAATAGCACAATTTCATGTGAAATTCCATTGTTTTCTATTGTTTGATTAATAGATAATTTAATTATTGTTTAATCATTCTCCAGCCAGGAATAATGCTGCACAAACAATAAAACCTGACTTGAGTGCAAACAATTAATCCGTGAAACAGTAATTACTAAATAGTACAAAATAGTGCTAATTAAAC